TTTTTTTTTTTTTGAAATTTCGAATACATGCGCGACTATACTATAATATTACTATAATGCGACGCACTGGACGCAGTTCGCATGAAAACTCGGGAAAAGCAATAAGCGAGCTCGAGGAAGGAGTGGAAGAGCGAACGATGGTAATTTAAACGGTGATAGTGGCGCCCATATGCCACAGCTGGACTTTTATTTTAGTCCGCGCTACGCTCCACCAGAGAAAAGCTTTACGATCGTCTCTCTCGTAGTAAACGTCTACTCTGTTACGTATGGAATACGGCTTTAATACGCGACGTACGAGATTAACCCAGCTCTCCCGAAAACGACCGAGAGAAAATTCAATTGTTAAATTTCCCCAAAAGGCTCCTTTATCTTTCTGAATATCCCGATCTTATCATCCGATATTTATTTCAGAATTTCTACTAAAAAAGACTGGACTCATAAAGCGAAGATCCAAATTTGAGAAAAAAATACGATGGAGGAGGAATGTCCGTGAATCCTAAAATCGAATGTTTTCCCTTCCCTTCGATGTTGCCCTGTCACAAAATGAATTCCGACATTGGCGACATTGCGAAGGAATCTAGGACTGGCCATTGCCGGAGACTCGAAGGTCGATCGATGAAACTTTCATTATCCGCGAATCGAGCGAACCGTGACACGATTTAAGCGAGAAAAAAAAACGGGGGAGAGGAAAGGAAAAAACCGAAGATCAGAACGAGATGGAATCTCATTCTTTTTCTCTTTTTCTTTTTTATATATATATTTCTAAATTTTTGCAAATTCGTCGTCGCAAAATTGAACGAGGTTGAAGTTTGTGTTTGCGAAACAACCGAAATCGTCATAATCTGCGGATGTTGCGAACGATGCGTCGGCTGGTACGACTCGCCCACGGCTGGCACGTATCGTTTATAAAATTCTGCCCACACGTGGCACGAGTCTCTTCGTCGCCTCGATCCTCGTTCTCATTGAGCTTAACGCTCTTGACCCGTTGCTAAGCCCTGCCTTAACGGCTTGCGTTTCCTACGCCCGCCCCTACGCCACTTTAAATCCTCGCCTAGCAATTGAGATTTCCTACGATCGACACCGTCTGAATTTCCGCCATGCCTCTCTTCCTCTCTCTCTCTCTCTCTCATTCACGAAAAATTGTGAAACGTCGTATCTCGTTATGTTTACCCCAGAACAACTTTGTTCTACTACGTTCTTCGCGTTATCAGTAATTATCGTATTACACCTGATAAGCGTTCACCTTCGAGATTCGTGATAATCCTTCGAAACAACAATCTATGGTAAATACGATGAACTGCAATGAATCGATAAGAAAAAAATTGATACTGCGAGCAAAATTGCAGGAGATAAGTTTTTCGTTTCATTCATTAATTGAGCTTGCCACCTCGTGACGCCACTGTTCGGTCCATTGGGCAAATCTGCTCGTCAAAAAACTCTCTGCTCCAAGTTCTTTAATCTTCCTAGGGACATCGAACTTTGTAAAAAATCTACGATTTCAGCCGGGGCTAATTAAATCGGCTTTTCGCAGAACATCGATTCTGGTTACGGATTTCTTTAAAAAAAAAAAAAAATAGGAAGGAAGGAGAAAAGTTCCGAGCAGTTTCAAGGAAAAAATGAAACTTGGCGCGTTTTATTCAAAAGTCCAGAAATCCGGCAAAGTTTATTCAAACTTTGGTTCGCCATTCAAACCATAGATCGTTAAAAAACTTATTTGGGATACGCAATAATAAAACTAAAATCCTCCACGATCATTTTTTTTCTTTTTCTTACTTTTATCAAAAAATTGCATTCGTTGTATCTTATATCAGAGGATCGACGATTCACCGAATAAGTCGCCCGAAATTTCTGTAGGGCTATGCGAAATTTTCATCGCAAAAGCGTGAACTTTTGTAAAAAAGTGGTTTTTTTTTTTTTTTGTGAAAGCCCGTTTTTTCTCGGGAACGAAGGGGTGAAGGGGTGTCGCGCACCCTCGTCGGGACACCGCGACAGTTTTTTCCTTGCCCGATCTCGACGCGTCGGCGGCGGTGGCGGCGGCTCGTTTTAACGCGCAGACAATGAAGAAGAATGTAAAGTGGCGCGGCGAGGTTCCATTGCCTTTCTCGCAGTCGCATTGTTGCCCCGTCACAGTCGCTCCGGGCAACGTTTAATCAAGCCTCGTGCAAATGAAAATCGTCGATCACCCCCCTCTGTCCAACGAATCGCCGGGGTATACATATTTCGTTCCAACTCGATCTTCGATCCGAGACTCGAGACCCGTTTCTAAAACACGAAGCGATTTAACAACGATCGATTTCGAATTTTCGAGGAGGGAAGGATTAAAGCGTTCGAGATTTCGCGGTTAAGAAAGGGGTTGGGAATCCCTAGTTTTTTAGTAGAAACTAAAAAACTTTCTTTCTAAAGAATTTTATTCTCGGGTTTAACAACGAAAGAGACTTGGTTTTTCGAGTCAAGTTCGATTTAATTGTTTTCAGTAGAAGAATTAAATGAAATTTCACGGTAAAGTAACTCAGAACTGGGTAAACTTTATTATTATTTTCAATTCGAGCGTCGGATCACGGATCGGTGAGTCTGTTTTTATATATAAAGCGAAATATGAATTTTATCTTTAGGACGAGGATACCTGATTAATTATTAATGGGCGTAGAGGATTCGTCATTGTTTTCCTATTTGTCCACGATTTTCGCGTTCGTCGATGCTTGATCGATCAACAATGCCCTTTCAGCGGTGTGTTACCTCTACGATTAAACGAATTATTCATCGAGTGCAAACAATCGAATATAAACGAAGCGACAATTTCTGTTAACTTTCTATGCGATACGAGTTAATGACATTCGGTTAATTTGTCGATAATCGGATAAAAATGTGAATTTTTACCAACAATTAAGAGAAAAGTGAGAATTTCGAGCGATATACTTAAAAGAAAATTGAAGAAATCGCGAAATCGTCGATCGAGATAAAGTTTCCCAATCGCGATCCATTTAAATCGAATCGCTCTTTCTTAATTATTGTCTCCCCGTGAATCAAGGGGAACACGTGCCAACACAACAAAAGAACAATCGGGAACCTTTCCGCGATTTAACACGTTCGTTTGTCCTTTCAATCGCGAGGAACACGTGCGCCAAAGATTTCTCCGTATATGCGTATAACGAGGAGGAAACACGTGTCCCTGTGCTTTACAGTTAGACATACACGTCTGCACCGACTTTTGCGCGACGTTAATCGACACCGATGATTAACTCCGACACGAGTATAAACCGGTATGAATCTCGATATCGGTCGCCGAGAACAGGAAACGCCACGAACGGCATACGAAAAACAGAATGACAGAATGGAGAATTTGTGCGCGAGCGAGTATTACGAGACAGTCGTAAATCGGTTTAATCCGAGCCGACCGAGTCACCGATAAACGGAAGTTCGTAGTGAATTCGACCTTCCCCGTTAGACGCCGCTTGTAATTATGATCGACCACTTAACGAACCGTCGCGCCGTCCAACCGTTTCCAACCGATCGAGACAGACCGATGGAAATTGCTTTAACTCGTTCCATGTAAATATAGAACGGTTCTATCCGTGAATCATTTTCGCTTACGAACACGGCTATATACCGTTACGTTCCTAGCAACCGTCCGTTTCAGTTAACCTCTGACTGTCGCATGTCTTCGAATCGGACCTAACCTAACTTTCCTTTAGAACGCGAACTGAAATATATCCGTTACAATTATCCAACGTTTCGCTTAATATTTCGTCGAATAAAAACGGATAGAAGGGAGAATTAACGAATCATTTGATTTGCAAACGAGGTACGATTTGAATGATTGTTTGATGAGAAAGAATGATATAAATTGAAAAATGGAAGTGGTATGCGTGATATGATGCATTTCGTTGCCGTTAAAGAAATGTATAATTATGTATTGACGTAATTCAAAGGAGAAGCTACTTTGTGCCGTGAATTTGAAATCTCGGAGACGAGGATGGAGCGGATGGAAAAATCGCGATTAAATTTTTAGATGGTCTATCAAATACAAACGAATAAATATGCATGTAAATATACGTATCAACTCGAAGTCCTATCGACTCGAAGACCACTCGACCACGTCGACGCCTCCGAGAAGGATGGATTAATCATCGATTAGAAGTAAATGATTAGCTCGTTTTGAATGTATATTGGCTAGAGATCGACTCCTCCGATGAATCATGAATCATACGAACGTGACGGAAGTAGCAAACATCTGTCTACTTGCAAGTGCTTTCTCTCTTTATTAACTTTTCGTTCGATTCGTCGATAGAATTTAAAAGGTAATTGTTGAATTCGTTTCTAGCGATTAATAAATGCAATTATGAACGTAAGAGAACGTAATTACTATTTTCTTCTCTATTACTTCTCTCGATGAAATTCATAAATATCCTCAATCTCTGTCAATCTCTAATTTAATAAACAAAGAAAAATATATACGTGTTTTTTTGCAAATACATGTTAAAATTTTGAGTGAACAAAATGAACGAAAAAAATCGAACGAGCGGCAAAAAGAGGAGCAAGGCTACGATTCCTATCACTTGCAACATGACGTCGATAAACGTATTGTTTCGTGGATAATTGTCGTCGTTTTGCGTTGCGCGAAATCCATAGCGGCGGATGAGCCGACCAACTATAGGCTCTTTCAAGGACTTTCGACGAGTACCTTCACGGACTGGCGAGTGTTCCAAGAAGGACGAGAAAATAACGAATACGCGACGCGAGATTGTGCGCCTCCGCGAATAATTAAGCCGTTGTTACTTTCTTCCTCTCCTTCTTAGAGCCCATATCTGTGCCGCTTGTATTTAAGAGATGTTAATGCGAGAAATGTACGTAGTTTTACTAAGAAACCAGAATCAGAGAGAAACTTGATGAATTCGTTAACGTATATATATTATATTCGCAGATGCAATGAGTTTATAATTCGTAGAAACAATGTGTTGCAACGAGTCAACCATTTACATATTCTTTTGTTAGTTTTTGTTTCGAGTTTCTAATTGTTCTGTTTCTAACGTAACGCGTGATATTTAACGAAATGTTGATTCAAATTGAAAAATTTATTTTATTTTTTATCAATCTTTTTTTTGCCAACTGATTGTTCGAAAATTAAATTTTTTAGAAAAAAAAAAAATCGATAGATTAAAAACCTTGCGTTAGATTAAAATGACGCAATTGTTATATCAGATAGCATAGAATTAAAAAAGCATTAAAGGTTAAGTATATATGTATAGTATGCACAGATCTAATATCGTTTCCTATTACACACATCTCATGATATGGGTTTCAAATAGATTTCTTATAAATTATCAATAAGATAATTATCTATTATAGTTTGTTTATAAATCTTCATCGATTCTGACGTCCCTCACCTCATTTCTATTCCAAAATGCGATGAAGATAAATTTCTGACCGCTATAATTTTCTATGTTTTTTTGTTTTTAACATTAAACATTCATTTCGATAAAACAAGCGTAGATATTCAGTTACTTTTATTGCATTTTGTCAGAGAAATGTCGAATGATGTGCAAAGGTTAATGTATGCATTAAAATAGACTATATTCGCATTAGTGAGGTTTGCATTGTTTGGTCACTCGAAAGCTTACTGTTATATACTTCATTGCTATTTACGCATATATTATATTTATGCAAATTTCCTTATTAATTGCATCTAAATAATAAATTAAACTTTTAACTTTCTTATTTTATGATATTAGCTTTATTAGTATTTACTGATAGCTTTTGTCTCGATAATGCGAGCGAGGAAATGTATTCACCGCAATGAAATGTGTATATCGGAACAATATAACTTTAATATAGCTAAGTATATCTATGTATACAAGGTATATACAAAGTGCATATATTGTACTCTTGTGAAGACAGCCAATCAGATTGAATGGTATATACGAATGACAGAAAAAAATCATAATAAACAATTTACAATAATAATGAAAATTAATTATTAAATATTTATGAAATTTCATAATAGATTTGAAAAAAACGTGATAATGAATTTCTCAAACAACAAACGAACAAAGTCAAAAGAAATTTGGAATAATTGCGTTATTGAAAAATATCTTGGAAGATAGACAACAATTATTCCGCTTGATTTTTTTTTGGCAAACTATTTAATGACTTACCATGATTCTCGGTGTGTACATCAGGTAGGATCGCGAGTAGCACCAAAACTAGCACTAATTTGCACTGCACCGTCACAGCACCGACGGTACATCGCGAATTCAAGCACCAGATATCACTCAACATGTTTTTTAGGCGGCGAATCGCAATACATAAAGCTCACGCAAACGTCATGACAACCGGTAATCACGTTTTTGCGTTCCGTGCTCTATCTACTTTCGTTACACGCACTCCAC